TTGTTATTTTATATTCACTCATTATGTTTTCCAATTTTAAATATTCTTAAATTAAATTCTGTTTAAGATTTCAAAAATTCTCCGGCATCATCATGAAATCATGATAACACACCCTTTTGCAATCCTCTAAAATTTTGACAAACTTACCATATATAATTATCAAACCATATTCAAAAAAATAATATCTGGTTTAAAGAATATTGCTTTATTCAGATTATATAGTTCATAGACTTACACATGTGTAGAATGTCAGAAGGTTGTAGAATTTTATAATAATTTAATGTAAAAAAAATTGCATATTCTTATGTCTTGATATTAGCAACTGCAATCGTTTGGCCCACGTTATAATGTTTATTTATTTCAGCAGTTATTTGAACATTTTTCTGGAACAAAAGGACAACGTCAGATCCACCAAACTGAAAATAAGATATCTCATCTCCTTTCTTTATCTCATCCCCTTCCTTCTTGGTGAGGATCACAGACGACACCTGAGACATACCAATTGGTAAAACAGCCACATATCCAATTTTCGCTGATTGGATTACAAACAGACCACGCGCCTGGCAGAATTGATACCCCGGAGAGTCCGGAGAATCGATCTCAGCTTTTGGCTGATCCGTTCCTATTCTTCGACCAGGTCTTAGTACCAGTTTGTTCCTTGAGTCTTTTTTAACATTAACTTCGCAGTAGGCCTGTCCTGGGATGACTTTAGCCTCGAGCACTGTGCCATCTATAGGAGAATGTTGACGGTGATAGTCGGATGGTGAAAGATATGAGTGCGTAAATTTTCCTCCGGCAAATTCATCTGAGTACTTACTGTCTGCAAGTAACTCGCGAATAGTCCAGGGGATGCTTTTTAAGGTGACAATTGCATTTTCATCGATATCCCAAGAGCCATCGAATGTTGAATCTGCGGCACTCACAATAATCCTTGGATCAGAAGGGCAGTCAATGGGCCGGACTCCAGGCAATAATTTTCGCGCGAAGAATTCGTTGAAACAGCGCCAGCCATCTCGTGGAGGCTCATAAATATTCATGTTATATATATCCGACATATAAAAAGTCTTCATAGATGCTTCAGTAAGTGATTGAGGTGTATTTAGAA